CTCCCCGTGGCAAGCCCCGCCGTGGCATGCTGCGCCGTGCTGTCTTCTCCGACGTGCAGCGCAAGGCGCTGGAGAAGATGTTCCAGAAGCAGAAGTACATCAGCAAACCCGACAGGAAGAAGTTGGCGGCCAAGCTGGGCCTCAAAGACTCACAGGTGAGAAGGTCAGAGGGGTGCAGGGAGCCATGGAAAACTTGGGGACTGGGGAGGAAAAGGGGACCAGAGCGACCTACAGGGCTGTGAGCATCAATGGAGCCAAGAGAGCGGCACGATTACCAGCTGGGTGAGTAGGACAAGATAGACCATGGCCATATTGTCCCCCAACTCCTCTCCTAGGGTCCCTGAAGGTCATGTTTTGTGGTTCCCGTTAGCTTTGGTACAAGCATGAACAGTTTCAAGTGTGCAACCAAAAGGCCTTTCCTGGTCCCTGTTTTACTGAACAGTTTCATCTCTGTCTTGCTTCGCCCCTCAGGTGAAGATCTGGTTCCAGAACAGGAGGATGAAGTGGAGGAACTCCAAAGAAAGAGAGCTCCTCTCTTCTGGTGGCTGCAGAGAACAGACCCTACCCACCAAGTTCAACCCTCACCCAGACCTCAGTGATGTAGGCAAGAAGTGTTCAGGAGAGGAGGAGGAGGAGGAAGTTCCCCCCACGTGCCCACCCAGCCCCCGGCATCCCTTAACCTACCACCAGTCCCCAGAACATCTACACTTGAGGGACAGACTGGACTCCCAGATGTCTCCCTCTCCGTCCCATTCTAGCAGCCCCAGCAAACCTTCAGACTTCTCAGACTCAGAGGAAGAAGATGATGAAGGGGAAGAGGAAGAAGAGGAAATAACAGTCTCTTAGACCCCCCTGCCTGCCCCTACCATCACATGGGGACATTGCAAAGATGTAAATAAACCAGAGTGCTATAAATTGAAGAGGTGATGTCCCACCCAAATGTCCACGTGCTTTCTCCAGTGCAGGTTCTTTATCACAGAGCTGCAAACCTTTCTACTTATAGGTATTCCTTTTTTTTTCCTCTCCACATGGAGGTTTTTATTCTTATAGCATCTGCTAATATTTTCATAACTCTCTCTGCTTAACAATCACCATTTGCTCAATCAGCTGCCTTCTCCTGAGAGCGAGCCACAGGCAGCTCCCTGCTCCACAGCAGTGAGGAAACTACAGCCTGTTGGAAGGGAAACTTTTCTTCCCCAGATAAGAAACAACAACAAAAAAACCCAGTATAGATGCTGTGGCCATTCTCACTATTTTTCAAGTGAATTTCCAGCTACTATTAAGATTTCAAAAACTCTAAAAACTGGTCTGATGTACTCACTCGTTCCTCCAAAAGTCAATAATATTGAGGGACACAGACCAAATGCTGCCTCCCTCCTCACCCCAAATAGCACAATACTTGTGCAACACACCCATTGAAATCCCTGGAACGACTTCCAAGGTAGAACACAAATGTGCCTTGTGCAGTGGAGACCTTATATATTTATATGTTTTTCATTTTAATTTATGCATCAATATTCTATTGGAAGCACTGCCTAACCCACCTTTTTGCTTCTTTTCCACTTTGCTTCTGCTATCCATGATGTGGACAGAGGAAAGTGGATACGCCTCTTTGATTTTTGACTGAACTTTGCTGTCTTTGCACAGCTTATATGAACTGTACACTATTTTGTACACTTACTCTGTATGGATGTTTTATACCAAGGTTATTGTGAATGACTATAACGATGACTCAACAAGGTTTCTCTCCTTTTTTTAATTAAATGATGGCTAAACTACAGACAAATGTAGCTGTTTAATTTTGTAACTTATAAAGAAACACTTTTATTTTGTATTTTACCATGTACAGACTTTAAATATGTATATATAATAAAGTGAATGACTGTCAAATAAAAAAACCCAACAAATGTAGATTTCCAAGTTTGATTATTCAGTAATACTTGGTCCTGGTTTATAGGTTGATATAGGTTGTGTTTGGGGCCAAGCAGGGAAAGGAATGAAAACTACCTTAATGATACAGTAAGCATTTATCAGCTTCAAATTAAATACCCTTAGAAGAACATCTACCTGCCTTTTAACTAGGGAGCAACTCAACCAAAAGATTAAAGATTTTCAGCAGTCAAAATGAATACAGGTTATCCCTTCTCGCATTTAAATGCAACTTAATTTCTGCTGATGTTACCCTGTGCTCCCTTTAAAGGCCTTCAGACTCTCCTCTTTCCTTCCAGTTATTGCCCAGGTATGTCAGAGTGCGGACACTTGCCCTGCATCACCCTGCTAAGATACTGCAGTTTGTACACTGAAAAGATGTAATTGGAATATTCTTATGGGGTAGAGAAACAGAATGGAAGAGAGAAACTTAAGATGATACTTCAGCCTTTAGTCAAGGATCACTTTGAAAATTCAAGGCAAATCCATAACTACCTGCATATTTTTTTAGATACAAATACACTCTACAGAAATGACAACGTTTCCCTCCTCACATACAGGTATCAGAGTTCTGTTGAAACAGAGATTTCATCACAAAATTAGCTTATTTTCTGCTCCACATACTCTGACTAATTTCTACAAGTCACAACATCCAAAACAAAAGCAATAAACGCAGCAGTTGTCCCCTGCCCACACCCATCCCTCTATGGTCTCCTTCACCCCCCCCTGCCACAGCCAGGAGGAAAGGCATGGAAGGGAAAAGAGAGGGATTCCAGTTGGAAAGGACCTACAAAGATCATCTAGTCCAACTGCCCGACCACTTCAGGACTGATCAGAAGTTAAAGCCTATTATTAAGAACATTGTCCTAATGCCTCTTAAACACTGCTGGGCTGGGGGCGTTGACCATCCCTTTAGGAAACCTCTTCCAGGTCTCCAACTACTTCCAATTAGGCAATTGGACACACCTAACCCAGGATACGTTGGCACTTGAATCATCTTCTACCCCTCTAACACCTTACAGCCATCAGCACTTGATAACACACACCTGAGACGGGGCACAGAAAGGATAAGACACATATAGTATTTATCCCACAAAACACAGAAGAAAGTAAAACAGCATAAGAACTTGTTGGGTTTGGTTTGGAGGTTTCTTGGGTGGTTTCTTCTTTTGTGTGTGTGTGTGGGGAAGCTCTTCCTAAAAAGCAAAGCAGCACCTCTCCCAAGCATACTTAAAACATCACACAAACGCACATTAAACAGCAACTGGCACAATTCACCCGAGTGCTCATCCAGGCTCACCTGAAAGAGCTGTTACATACATTATCAACTGTGCATATACTGCAGGATGCATTATGCTACATATATATAACGTATATTATATATAGTTATATATGACTGTCAACAGTCCAGCTGTTGACTCTTTAAGTGATAGAGCACCCCATGACTGTTATTTATAACTTAATTTTTACTAGTCCAGTAAGCATAAGACCATAGTTAAGTCACCTATAAAGGCAGATCTAATTAAAAACACAAATTTTGTTTTAAAATGCATAAAATACTCCAGAGAGCACAGGTACCATCACACATACCACGACACTCGAGAAAGGAGCGTGTTCAAACCAAGAACAGGTATTGCTTATACATCATCCCTCCTGATTCAGTGCTCAGCAGAAGTTACTAATCATTTTACACCCTCTGCTCTTCACAGCCTATCTGCACTGGGAATGGTGCCAAAAACAATTGTTTCAGACTACTTCTTTCAGCACGAGTACCATGACATCTCATTCTGCTAGACAAACAGCCTTACTAAAGGAAAAATTACCTGGAATTGTCATTTAACAGGGAAAAACCCTTAGAAATCCTACCTGAGATGTGACTATTTAACAACCTTACTCCTTTTTTTTTTCCTTTCAAGGATCTTTTTATATCAAAAAGAACATTGTACAACCGCCAAGCCCAATAACTTGAGATTCAGGTATATCTTAATATGAAATTAAAAAGCTTTTTTTTCTCTTTTACTTACCAACAACTGCCAGACTGCATCTCCTGCTTGCAGGAAAGAGATCTCCTTCTCCAAGGCTTCCATTTTATACTCTGGGTGGTGAAGCCAGCATTCCCAGCTACCCTGTGGTGGCTCATGCAGGACAGCTGTGCCAAGTCCTGCAGAAGTAGCCACACCTTCTGAGGTCTTAGGTCAGACACATACACTCATTCACTTACCTCAAATGTGGAGAGATTCCGGTTGCTTTTGGAGGACCTGATGACAAATGGGCTTGTTCCTGGTGTGTGTGACACTGGGGTGTGTTTCTAAGAGCAAAATGTTTCATAATTTGCTGTTAACATAAAGGGTGTTAGAGGCCACCTCCTCCAATCCCCTGAAGCTGGCTAATCTTGGTGATTAGCTAATATGAAACTGCTGGCCCAAGAAATTATATTTTATATGTTTATTTGTTTATGTAACCATCTGCATGCTTTGGGAAAGGAGGAAAGGTGACAAGGAGCCTTTCCTGCCTTCATGGAGATGGAGAGATTTCCATATTGACTAGTAGCATCCACAGTTTTAGAAACTCTGGAACAAAGTGATCCTGTATGTGAAGTGCTCCCATAACAACTGCTGCTTCATGATATTAAAGTGCTCTTTTTAAAGACCCAGTGGCAGGGAAATGTCAGGAAGATGCACCAGGGTGAGTTTAGGTTGGCCATGAGGAAAAGGTTCTTGAGGCAGAAGGTGGTGGAGCACTGGGACAGGCTCCCCAGGGAGGTGCTCATGGCACCAAGCCTGACAAGATTCCAGAAGCATTTGGCCAACGTGTGCCCTCAGACACATGGTGTGAATGTTGGGATTGTCAGGTGCTAGGGCAAGAGTTGGACATGATAGTCCTTGTGAGTCCCTTCCAACTCACAACATCCTCTGATTCTGTGATTCTTCCTTCTCAGAGCTGGGATGGAAATATCTGACACTGGGGAAGGGGAAAGGCAGAGAGAGGGATTTATGTTCAGTGACTGTGAGCTCAGGGCAGCAAATACTCAACTATTTCATCCCTTCAGGAACCAGCTGGTTCAACATCTGTGCCTGCTGTAACTCTGATCTCCCCCAGCGTGGGAGAGTGGCTTTTGGAAAGGAGAAGAAAAGAAAAGAAATCACTTTTTTCAGGGAGTCTGTGCTGTTTTTACCTGCAGAGCTGTACGGCAGCATCCTGGACTGTGCCCAGGATGTGTGGGGTCCCATGGTGGTATCCCTCCTGTCCCCCTCCCCAGTTGAAGGGCTGTTCCATCAGCTCCCTGCACAAACTGGGAGAGCTGGAAGTGTTTTCACCTGTGCTGCAGACAGGGAAGGCAGCCTCCTGCACAGCCCCAGGAGCACCTGTGCCAATAGTGCCATGTGCCCATTGGAAAAACACCTACCCAGGTGTGTAGAAATCATCTAATAAGCTACAGATGGTAACACTATATGCAAGAAAGCCAGTTTATCCCCATCTGTAGGAAACACTGACTTTCCTAACAACAGTAAGCCAAAAATCCTCGCCAGTCACCTCGCATTTCAATAGTGCAGAGCCCGAGAATGTCACAGTAGAAAGAAAAAAAATTAAAAAATTAAATTGCCTCTTTGAAGAACATCTGTGCTCCAGGGAGTTTTAATATTACAATCATCTTAAAGAAATAGAGCCCAAGATGCAAGACCACAGTTTCCAGAAGTGACCAGTGCAGGCTGAGGCTTGTGAAAGGCAGGAAACCACCAGTGCTAAACCCCCAGCCTCAGGAAAATCAGACTTCTTTGAAGAGACCCAAGTTCAGTCCTCAAAACCATTTAAAAACCATTTTGTCTGGGAAGTTTAAGGTAGAGTTTGACACAACAGTTATGGGCTCAACTATGGTCCAGAGGACCAGGCAGGGGCTCACTCCTGGTTGTGTTTCC